ATCAAAAGAACACAAATCCCCTGAAGCCTACCCCAAAGGGAACCTCAACAAATTCTGTCATTTTTGGTGAGGAAATATCTTTATTTAGTCCATGTCTTAAGTCCCCTTTCCTAAGTTTATCTTAAGTCTCACATCTTTAAAGACTAAAGCAAATATTTCAAGGTTAACCCTAACCCTTTTTTTGCAACATAAAACTGACTGAAACTATACTAAAGGCTTTTTAAGTTTTAGTCGATTAAAACCGACTAAAGCTGGTAATAAACAAGTTAAACATTTACATTAAATTTAATCCATGTTTTGCCCTATCTCTGTACAACAGAAATACTGGAAATTCAGATAGATTAATGGAAAAAACAAACTCCTGTTTAACATCAAAAGAACACAAATCCCCTGAAGCCTACCCCAAAGGGAAACTCAACAAATTTTGTCATTTTTGGTGAGGAAATATCTTTATTTAGTCCATGTCTTAAGTCCGCTTTCCTAAGTTTATCTTAAGTCTCACATCTTTAAAGACTAAAGCAAATATTTTCGCTCCAATTTCATGACACTGGTCACATCTCTAACCCTGCATCACTTTGGTTTAGATTTTTAAATCAGAACTGTTTGTACTTTGGCATAAAATTCAACCTGGAAGACTCTTAATCAGCCTAACCTGGAGCACTTGCTGAAGTCACCCGCTCAAGCTTTAACCATTCCAAGACGGGCCGCACGCCACAGCCTCTCCTTAGCCAATCTGTTCTCAAGATGCTCTTCATTAAGACGAAGGCCCAGCTTCTCCATTCAGCGTTTCAGCTGAACTTTGACCCACGTCCACCCCATCTCCTCCCTCTCTCCTTCCTCTCCGTAGCTGGGCATACACTGTGCAATATTTTCAATCTTTGCACACAGCTGCAACTCAAACTGTACTACGAAACCGCAGGGTTTAAAAGTGCACAGCTCATGATGTAATAATGTGATCTAACTGCCCACACTGCATGTCCAAAAACCACGTCGGACTCAGCAACAAGAGATGGCGCTGGTGGGACCCGTCAATTTGGATAAAGGAAAACTCTTGTTTGCAAATGCGCAGTGCATGAGGTTCAGGTAAATCCGCTCATAGCTCTGCTTCAACAGCAGGATTTGTCCACGAAAACCTTATGACGGCCGACTGAATTTAAAACATTTTGGATGTTTTGTGACATTTGTCATGTCATGAGAGGCTGATTGCTCTTCGTTACACCCTGTATACTACACGACGCAAGATCAGGCTGAAAGTCGGCCAAATCAAAAAAATTCTTGCACGAATGGAGAATTGGCCCAGAAAGGGCAAAAAATTGTACAATGTATGCCCAGCTTTAGGCTACGTTCACAGTGCAGGCCTTAATGCTCCATTTTGATTTTTTTGTGAACTTTTTTTTTTTTTTTTGCGTTGCCGTTCAAATTTCCAATTAAATTCGACTTGTATGTGATCTCCTGTGTAAACTCATACAACACAAGTGTCCAGCATGCGCAGTAGAGGGTGCAATGACGTCACAAAGCGTGCTTTGTGTTTACGGAAGTTAACATGGATGGTAGTGCTGTAGCGCATCTAAGCGATTTTTTCCCAATCTTAAATAGTTCATCTTTTCAAGAGGGTAAAAAAAAACACTACTCTCTACATTATTGTCCGCCATGGTTTTTGTTTTTCTTCCCGCTTCTGCATAGCAAGACACAGTCATATTTTTGAGTTTCCATCAATGAGACGAGACTAAATAAAAATTAGCGGGTTATCTTTGGATGTTTAAAATGCATCCTTGTGCTGTAATCTGTTAGACAAGCTAGGCAGTATCAGCCGTGCTACTGCGTCTTGTTTGGTCATGCAGCCCACCTGACTTGCAGCACAGCACATTCTCCATTGATATTAATTTATACTTTCTGAATGGTCTGGTACTGCACGCTCAACTCTGACAAATTATGATCTTCCAGCTCTGCTTGTGCAGAAATGCGCGGCGGGTCTGTGCTTCTCACTCCACATCGATGGTTCGATCTCAGCAGTATGGCTCTTCCTGCTCTTGCTACTTAATAAACTATATTTGGCTGATCATCCTCTGCCAAGCTTTAAAAAAATCACTTTTTCTAACTATCAAGATTTTATTTCTTCCAGTTCACAAGACGTGATACTAAACATTCTTCAACTTCTACCAAAAGGAATCCCTAAGTTATATCAAAAGAACATATTTCATTGCATACTGTTTCTTTTTGGATAAGGAGCCAGGTGAAAAGGTACATAGATCTTTGAATATTTCTTTCTCATAGTTCTCGTTTCTATCTTGTATTTAAATATGATGTAAATGTTTCCTTGTATTATCACTAAAAACTTTCTCTGTTTTCATTAAATATTTGATCATTTTAGTTAGCATCTTCATTCAATTTAGGTCTGGATTTTCATTACAAGCAAATGAGTAGGTTTTCTCTGTAATTTTTTTTATTAGACCCCTGTGAATTTAAATGCACTTTGACCCCTGAGCAGTGGCAGTGGAAACCCAGGGGCAAATTGAAGAAATAAAGCCAAAATTACCAAATTAGAAAGAAGAATGATTTTTTTATTTATTTTTTTTTTTTTGGAGTAATGATGATTTTATTGATCTGTGTGTAATGCATAATTCATAGTAGAAGTAATTCATAGTCGGGATGTATTTGCTTTACGATGGAAACCTTGTATGTCTAAAACCATTCCTTTATTGCACATTTTGTTAGCTTGTCTGTCTGCTATAATAACCAATGTGATGTGTTGAACTAGATCTGCTATTTTCACAACTTTCAGTGGCACACTTTTGTATAAAGTAGGGCATTATTTCATAAAAAACTTGTTTTGAATTCTATAAATTAAGTTTTCTACCCCAAAGCAATGATGAACTCCACAGCAGCATTCTATATCCAGCAATTGTAGCATCTAGGCTAGGGCTGTCAGTCTGGTAAAGAATGTGGTTGTTATTTGAAAAATTGTAAAGGTTAACTTTTTTTTTTTTTTTTTGCAAAATAAAACTGACTGAAACTAGACTAAAGGCTTTTTAAGTTTTAGTCGATTAAAACCGACTAAAGCTGGTAATAAACAAGTTAATTATTTGCATTAAATTCAATCCATGTTTTGCTCTGTCTCTGTACAAGAGAAATACTGGACAATCAGATAGATTGATGGAAAATAAACAAACTCCTTTTTAACATTAAAAGAACACAAATCCCTTGAAGCCTAAGAAAATACCTTTATTTAGTCCATGTCTTAAGTCCCCTTTCCTAAGTTAATCTTAAGTCTCACGTCTTTAAAGACTAAAGCAAATATTTCAAGGTTAACCCTAACCCTTTTTTTGCAACATAAAACTGACTGAAACTAGACTAAAGGCTTTTTAAGTTTTAGTCGATTAAAACCGACTAAAACTATCACATATCGTAATGACTATACGGAAACTAGTAATAGTTTTCATCCTGAAGACTAAAACTAAGAATGAATCTAAGATGGCTGTCAAAAACAATACTGGGATGAATGCAATCTGGCTGTTCAGACACAGGTTGCATTTGAAAAGATCAGCTTCGTATCGGATTCAGGACCACAGACTGTCCCCTCGGTCGCATTCCATAAAACTGGACCTGTGTTGTTCAGACTGCCATGAAAAGATCAGATGCAGGTCGCTTATGGGCAAAAAAAAAAATGATTTGGGTGACCTCAGGCTGCAGTGTGAACGTAGCCCTGGACAAGTCATCCCCAAAATCGGTCCTGGAGGGCCGCTGTCCTGCAGGTTTTAGAGGTTTCCCTGCTCCAGCACAGCTGATTTACATTAATAATTTATTAACAGGCTTTTACTGAACTGCAATTATCAGAATCAGCTGTGCTAAAGCAGAGAAACCTCTAAAACCTGCAGGACAGGGGCCCTCGAGGACCGACTTTGGGGATGCCTGTCCTAGACCCTCTTATCCTCTGGTTTATTCCACCACCAGTGTCTGGGCCCTGGAGGAAAGGTTAGTCTAATCCTCTGAGTTAGTCATCTAGGCTCAAGGCAATTTACACCATAATGTCTTCTGTCAGGGTCCGAGCGCAAACATTTATTTAAATTCATATCAGTAAAAGCTCTCTAATGGCTTTTTTTCTCAGTGTGAGTCTCTCCATGTCTTTGTCCTGCCAGTTCAAATCCCATTAGTCCCAGTCATTATGCCCTTTATGTTCAGGTAGTGATGAAGCAGTTCTTAGCTTTGGACTTTTCCGTTTGGCTTCTTGCTCTTTACTCTGGGAGTTATTTTAAATTCATGTCACTCTCCTAAACCCTCCAGCTAAAATTCCAATGGCAAAAGGACTCTGACCTCATGGGCGAGGCAGCTATAAAAAACAATGCCTGGGGAAAGACTTTTACCTTTTACACATTCAGACTCAACAGTCAACATAATGAAGCAATTTCACATTAATTGAAGCAATAAGGGTGGAAGAAATATCCTTTATTGCCCCACAGTGGGGGTGTTCTTTGAAGTGAAATGCAAATGGTAGCATTCAGATACAAACAAGGGTAAAAAATCTCATTAAGAAAATTTAGGATGTCGGACCCTAAAGGAAAGTTAAGTTTATAGCATAAGAAAAATATAGCTACTAAAAAGGAAATATTTAGATTAAAGTGCTCGAAATAGCAGCAAAATTCAAAGAATGTACAAAACCTGGATTAAAACATAAAAGAACAGAAGATTTAAAAAGAAAAACTGGGCTGCAGGAGCAGCTGGAACATGTCTGAAGTTTTAAGAGACAATTTAAAGATTTGAAGAAATGAAAACATATCAAAGTGTTTGTGAAACCTGGCCTTCTGGGTTTCTGTCCACCCTTAAACAAAAAGATCACACGACACAAGCGTTGGAAAACAGTCAGTTCTCAGTAAACATGAGACTCTGACACCTGAAATCTGATTTCCGTGATCTTGTCTTAAAGTAAGAAGGTTTAATCAACACCAGCTGCAGGTGTTTGATGTCACCGCTGAGGATCAGCCTCATGTTAGCTTCATACATACCAAATTTCTTCAGCAGCTCTTGAACCCGTCGTCCTTCTGAGGGGCCGTCTTCATCTATAACTGAGGTTATAGAACATGTCAGATTAAAAACCTCTTTAGAGAAAAAAAACCTTTTAAGGTTGGTATTAAACACACTTCCTTTTAACCCTACATTTTTATCAAAATACATTTTTTGTTGCTTTTGGAACAAGTTTAATGACATTTCTTGCTTATTATTTTATATTTAACCCAAACTATATTTGCCTTTTATTATTAACCCACAATATAGCAGTTGTGTTAGCAAGCAGGTAGTTGGCCTTCATCTCTTTAGGGTACCAACACATTTATTCATGCAATTGCAGCACATCTTGAAAAATAACAGCATTTCCTTTCACAGATTCATTTTTTAAGTTTTATTTTTACAAATTTTTGTCGGTTTTGAAGGTCCTACAGAGATTCTGGCTCAACTCAGTTAACTAGCAGCTATCAGGAACCTCCAGCCCCATTTCACCTGGGTTGTGAACTCATTTCAGAGTCACTGAAAGCATACATTTTATGACATCGTGTAGCCAATTTTACCTCAGGGCTTTTACTTTATGAAAATAATCATCCATAAAACTACTAAAGCTTCAAGGAGATTGGGCCTGACGTAAATTTAGATTTCAATCCTAAATCAGTCCTTATTTTATGAAACCATCCAGGAATTACCTTTTCTGGATGATTCTCGAGCTGATGAAAAAGACGCCAACCCTCTCCTTCGATCAAATCCCCCCTCATCCTCACTGTTGTGCCTTTCTGTAGAAGAAACCAACAGGTTTAGCGAACACATAGTTAAGATTCAGCAGAAGATTAGATCCACATGATTATTCCCTGGTATGATCGACCGTCTTACTTTTGATGCGAAGAGATGAGAAACGAAAAGTCCTTCGTGTGTTGGGAGAAATAATCTGTTCATTTTCCTAAGAGGAATTAAAAAAGGAAAATTAGATTTTTAAAAAATAAACAAGCTGTTAAAATCGGTTCATTGAGAAGATAAATAACAGATTTCTAATGTTTTAACACAGTTTAAAAATCATCACACACATAACATAAACACTATGAGCAGATTAAACAAATCTTTGCTTGGTATTTACCGATTGTTTCATGGTTTATAGGGTTTTTGTGACTGATTTTGACTTGGAATACTGCCACCAGTATGGTTAGTCATTTATACTGGAACATCTCCAAGAATAGCTGGATAAACAGGATTTCTTTAGCTTAGTAGGAAGTATTTAGGTCAACAATTCATATGTAGACCTTTATGACTGTTTTAATCAGAGAATTAAAAACTACAGTGTTTTATGAAACCTTCTTTTGGCTTATATTTTTGTTCATAACTTTGACAAATTCTTTTAATGCATGAGGAAAGCTTTGTGCTTCTCAGCAGCAGCTTTCGCTCTTAAAAGGATTCCCAAAGCAGATCGTCCGCTCAGGGCTTGTCATTGTGAATAAGGCTCATTGGTTCTGGAAGACACGCTCTCTATTTATAGGACAGAAATGACAGGACATGTCCCTGTCCTTTGGGAAATCTCTCCAGTAATATAAACCACTGCTGTAGGAGTGGAATGCATCATGACGAGTGAAAGCAAAGTGTCTGTGATACTAAATCATTGTAATTAAAGTTTTATATTTTTTTGTCCTGCCTTTATTTCTTATCCGCCTCATTTAAAGCATAAATAGTTTCTGTTTAATGCATTGTTGGGTCTCCCTGGGAAAATTCTCCCTTTGCAGGAAGTGATGAGTTTTGTTTTTCTTCTTTGTTTTGAATAAATGACTAAGGAGCTGGGATGTAAGCATGAGCAGAGGAGATAGAAGTCAGCAACCTGAGCTGAAGGTCCAAGAGAGACGGCTGCACTGACAGTAATTCATTTCAATTCATTTTATTTCTATTGCACCAATTGACAACACGTCATCTCAAGGCACTTTACAGTTCACCAGATCACACTGTCAAATTGAATTAAATTTTCTATTTAAGGAAAATCAGTTGATTGCATCGATTCATTGACTTGAAGGCAATCTCTCACACAAAGCATGCTTGTAGCGACAGTGGGGAGGAAAAACTCCCTTTTAACAGGAAGAAACCTCCAGCAGAAGCAGGCTCAGTGTGAGCGGCCATCTGCTGAGGCCGCCTGGGGTTCAAGGAGACAGAAGCAGAGATAGAAAAAGAAGCAGAGATATAAAAGGCAACTGTAAAATATGATCCTTAATTTCTTCTTTTTCATTTCTTTATTTCAAACATATTAATGAGAACTCATTGATCCCTTTCAGTTTTTATTAAATTTTTAAACTTGGTCAGGTGGATCTATCTTTTAGCTGCTGTGTAATTGGACATACCCATTAGACCACAGAAGCACAATGATAATAATAAATAAATGAAAAAAGAGAAACAAACTATTAGACCCAGACAATTAATATTATGCTATATCTGCAAAGTAAATTAACAAGTAGAAGATGACTAATTAATTTAATACATCATTGAAGTTAAAGGCTCTAAAACTAACATTGTTCTTTGAAGAAAAACAGTGTTTAAAAAAGACCTTTGCAAAAACTTTAAATGAAAAGAAAAATATTAAGTGAAACAAAAGATCAGGCTGCAAATCCAAGGAATCAAACCATGAATTTTAATTTAGCTTGTGATGAAAGACGAAACGGTAAATTTCTTACAAAAGAGATGGTGAAAAGGAGGGCTTGTATAAGCGTGCCACCTCTAGTGGTCAAGCAGCCTCTGTGGATTTCTACAGCTTTTTAAGAGATATTCGGGTTATTTATTGCCTTTTGTAAAAGTAAGCCAAAGTATGTCAGGGTTAGCTTACAAATAACTGAAGAAAACCTGTATTTGAAGTTCATAAAACTGTCATGATCTTAACGCAGATGACTACTTAATTATAAATTTCATTCACCTGTCTAACTTTGCCTGTTTGTAGTCACTGCTCATCTGATCCACCTGCTCCTGCCTCTATTTAAGGTGTTTGCATCTAGTTATCAGGGGGAGATTATTCTCGTTCCCTCGTGTCAATGGTGAGAGCATTTTTAGTGTTCCGTAGTGTTTCTGATCTCCTGATCCTGACCTGTTCTGCCTCTCAACCACTGAACCTGCATGTTGCTGTATGATCTCAGAGGTAAGTGCGTTTTTTGCGTTTCTTAGTGTTTCTGATCTCCTGATCCTGACCTGTTCTGCCTCTCAACCACTGAACCTGCATGTTGCTGTATGATCTCAGAGGTAAGTGTGTTTTTTGCGTTTCTTAGTGTTTCTGATCTCCTGATCCTGACCTGTTCTGCCTTTCAACCACTGAACCTGCCTGTTGCTGTATGATCTCAGAGGTAAGTGTGTTTTTTGCGTTTCTTAGTGTTTCTGATTTCTGATCCTGACCTGTTCTGCCTCTCAAACACTGAGCCTGCACGTTCCCATCTGATCTGTTTGCCTGACCTGGCTACGGACTCCTCCATGTTCTCCGGGGCTACAGCATCTGTGACACTCTGGGCATCCGCCGCATCTTGTTGGCAGCCCACCGGGTGGATCCTACCTCGTTCTCTGGTGATGGACTGAACCGTCGTCATCATCCTCCATCAGATTATTGTGGTCACTAACCTGTTTCTCTCTCCTGCAGAGGTTAATGCCTTAGACACCCTAGCCACTGCAGATCTGCCTTTTTCAATAAAGTTTTTTTGAATTGTCGCACTGTCTGTCTTGCCTGAATACTAGGTTCTTCTTTTTTAAGTAATGACAAAAACAGTATTTAAATCTACAAACTACATTGTTGTTTCCAGAGTGTATGTCATGATCTGGCCTGTTTGCTCCTCCTTAATTAGTAATTCCTTTCACCTGT